TGTAGTGTTGGTAATGTAGTTTGAAACAATCCTAGATCCTTTTACACTGTAATCCATGCAGTGACTTAATTAATAATGTAAATGTTATGGTGTCACTTCTGGGTCTGTCATGTTTACTGTGGAGGAACAAGAAGATTATTATATTGCTAAACCAACATAAGACACAAATGATGTGTAATGTAACACCACATCAAATTTGCCCACAGCAAAAGAGAAATCGAGCGTGTGATTGACTTGTGTTTTCTTAAGATTCAAATATAATTACTCTGCACATGGCTGGTTACCTCATATCAGTAAATAAAGTTACCAATATGGAATACTGTATCAAAATACATACTTCAACGAAATATGACTTTGAAACCTAAGATAAGCCAATATCTAATTTATTTGTATTTACTAAAACAAAGATCAGAACAAATTCATATCAGTCAAAGAAGTCCATTTTTAAAATAGTTTTGAAAAGAAAATGTAAAATGTTTAATGCATTACAAAGAGTAATACTTTGCATACATTTTGTATATGATATTTTGTTTAAACAGGTTTTTTTGACCTACAGTCCAATAACTTTCCCATATCTGGTCAAAACAAAAAGGATTTCTTGGGATACTTTTTAAAAAAAAATGTAATGCAACTAATTCAATATAAATACTTTATATACAGTTAAGTTACAAGACAAACAAAGTTGTTTGAAGCAGGAAGGCAGGAACAAATAATAATATCTTTCCTGTGAGTTATCCAATTACATTGTTTTTGGTTAAAGTACAACAATCTTACTGTGCAAGACTACACACATTATGATACGCGAGTTTGAAATATATAATTTAGGTAAATAAGGTATTGAACAAAGTCATATAGAGGCTGAACTAATAAAACTATACCAGAAAATGAAAAGAAAAAGAATACCATCAACTTTCTTTTTCAGCATGTGTTTATAATCATTTATTTTAATCGTTACCCTTGTCCTCTGCTGCCTTGTGTGTGGCTGACTATGCATTGTGTTCCTCAGAGACTTTGACACTACTTACCGAGTATTTGTATTTTCCGATGTGTCCGGGCATTTGCAGCCATTCTCAAAAGGTGCAATTAAGGCCAATGGTCTCTCTCAGCTAAATCACAAATCTACAGCAATTCACAGGAAGGAGTTAGTAGCACAGAGTTAGATATAAGACATGCACGAATCAACACATAATTACACCCAGTGATGATGATCATGGACAACATGCAAGGAATTACAATGTGTTGAATTTGCCTGGGAATGAAAGTTATTTTAACCCTTGAGAGACACAGAGTCATGAGAAACTACTACTACATTCTGAAGATGTACGGTGGCCAACAGGTGCAAATGCGCTACAGCGGCACAACACACTTACCTTAGGAGGGAGAAACGTGCTGCACTTTCAAAAACGATGCAAATATAAAATCACAAATGTACAACACATTCAAATGAAAAAACATTTTCACCAACTTGAAACACATGGCAGCATTTAGAAAACATACACCAACTTGATGAAACATACGCAAGCGTCTACTAAAGTGCTGCAAATACAAAACGCCACAAATACAAAAAAACACTGCAAAATGGTCAGAACACAACCAAAACCAGGGGACACTAAAAGTGATGAACACAGCTGGGACCATTGACAGTTGGCCAACTTTATAATCCTTGAACTTCAACAAGTGCTCCGGTCCCAGCTGTGTGCATCACTCTTTAGTGTCTCCTGGTTTCCGTTATGTTTTGAGCTTCTTGCAGCGTCTTTGTATTTGCAGTTTCGTTAAAGCAGCATGTTTGCGACGTGTTGACAAGTTGGTGAATATGTTTCTTTGTTTGCAAGTGTTTTGGTACTTTTGTGTTTTTATATTTGCTTAGTTTGTGCCATTCTTCTAATGTAACTGATGTGGGCCGTTGTAGCACGTTTGCCCCAGCCGGCCTCCGCAATAACTACACAGATAAATTAGGACATGAGTGATTATTCTCCCTGTAGCATTAACTCACAAAAGAGAATGATATGAATACTGGAATGATGTAAGCACCTCATTACATGTTTTTAATTCATTTAATGAATTATTAAACACAAAGTAGTGATTATGACATGATTCATGGAGGTACAATGTTGTGAAATCTTTAATTAGAACACCAAAGACAGATGTAATCATGATAGTATAAGTACTAGTCAACTTTCCTCAGTTGAATCACTGAAAACAATCTTTGTTGGGATACACAAGAGTTTTTATATTTTTGTCCTTGCATTGTATAAAAACACTCAGTTTAACCCAGTGGTGGAAAGCACTTTGTAATTTACTTAAGTGATATAATACACTAGTACAAATGTGCAGGCCTTGTGAGTTTGTATTCTATGCTAATTTAAACTTTTACTGCAATACATTTCAAAGGAAAGTATTGTACTTTATTTTACATTTACTTGATCACTTTAGTCACTTTGCAGATTCAGATTACAAAATATAACCAACAAATAAATAAGGATGCATTAGTTTAGATAAACATTCAACGTTATCAATCCCTGGGTAAAATCATAAGCCGGCAGTGCGCCTATAACAACTAAAGCCCATATTTAACAGCTGCAAAATTAGAGCAATGTACACATTAATGCATTAATAATTTGAATAAAGTATTATTCTGATATGGCACATTATGCATATGATAACTCCTTTTGTGGTACTTCAAGTCAATGTTTAGGGCAGTGGTTCTCAAACTTTTTCTGTCAGGTCCCCCCTTTGGAGAAAAAAAAAGTTGGGCCCCCCCCCCAACACAAATAGTCACGTAATGGGCCAAGTTAACATTTATTAAAATACATCAATATGAACGTGAGCATTCCTTTGCTAGAACAGTGATAATAAAACAATGCTCCATAAGTCTGTGTGCTCAAAACAATAAATACATAATACAATTGTGCAATCCCTTTGCTAGAACAATAAGTTATAATACTTTGCCACTTTGCAATCTGTGCAAAGACATGAAAAGAAAGAAAATGCTGATATTTGGCAAAGTGTGTCTTATCATCACAGCATTAGTGTCTGCAATGAGCCTGCTTTGCACTGCACATTTCTTCAAAACGGGGTTGCTGGCTCAGTGGCGGCCCCAGAGATTTCTTTTGGGGGTGCTGTGGGGTAGCTTGACTTTTCATAGAGGGTGCTCAATCATTTAGGGTTTCCCATTAATGTACCGGTCGCTACAGTGGAATTCTCTACTGCAACAATCCCCACGCAAATACACAGTGTACCCGCGACTGTTAGAATGAAGGCTCGACAATCAGCTCACGGCATATAGGTGTAAGCAGGGGTCAAGTGCTATTTTTATAGGTGGTGTGTGGACCTCACATAGGGGGGTCCGGGGGCATGCTCCCCCGGGAAGATTTGTTTTTTAAATATTGAAGTTAAAAGCATCAATCTGGTGCACTTTGAGAGCAAAATTAAGAGATCTATGGATACATCTCTCAACATCCATATGAAACAGAACAGATTTACTATTTCTTTATGGATATTTTACAAATCACTCCCTTTCAAACTGTATTCTTGTTTTACTGTCATATAGTATTTGATACCTGTTTTTTATGTATTCTCTTATATTTTTATAACTATAATGATCATATAAACGTGTGCCTCGGAAATAATTGTTTACATTATTGAGACCCACTGAGATAACTTAGACTAAAGTTAACTATCTAAACCAGTGGTTCTCAAATGGGGGTACGCGGACCCCTAGGGGTACGTTGGAGTACTGCAGGGGGTACGTGAGATATATTTTATGTTAATGAACAAAACAACGTAATTAATGCATTTAAACAAACTACTAATAGTAGATTAACTACTTTCTTCAAAAGTTTACAGTAATTCTGGATAATAAAATGGGAACAATAAACGGGGTGCTCTCTCTCTCGTACTTGTACTGTATCATATTATTTTTAAATTATGATTTTTTTCCATAACCATTTTTCCTCCTGGTCTCTCGCGCCCCCCACTTTGAGAAACACTGGTTTAGGGTGATATGACCATTCAACTTAAGTGACATAATTGAATACAGTACTTTTGCTTCAGTAAACGATCTAAGTACTTGTTCCACCACTGTTTTTTGGACGGGATTACTTTTCCAGTGCCAGGCTGACTACCATGCAAGGATAGCACAGGCTGTCAACAGGCCTTACACCTCATGCAACACACACAGTACAGTTAACTATGGGGGAGATGTAACGATGACCTGCTAAAAATCTCCTAAAATAGCTCCTGAGTGTTTCACATGTACACCTCTGACCTTTCATGCTTGCACCGTCACTGTATTGGACAATTTAAATGGCCAGATCAAGTCCATTTAAACCCCGTGTACGGTGAATTTACAAGCTGACAGTCTCACACAAAGCACGCTGTCATGCAAAAATAAGAAGTCTGACCTGATCTTTTTGATCGGGCTTTAAATTCCAAGAGTTTCCAGCCGACATCTGCAAGGCTCGCCATGCTTACACTGTCAAATTTGCACGAAAGTTAAAGGATTTCAGGTGTCATCCTTCAAAATAAAACAGAGGCGATGAGGCTCACGAACCACAGAAATGTAAAAAGTTGACATAATAATGTCTTAATTAGATAATATATTACAGTAAAATGTGTCACATCATATTCAGAAATATCAATATCATGTGTCTGTTATAATATATTCGCTTAACATACTTGTTAGCTAAATATTTGTATTTATTCTGAAGTTAAACTCCCTTCACTTCCGATTTAGCTCTGGCTAACTCCCTTTAACTTGACTGAGCAATGAACCCATGCTACGAACTGTCAAAAATAACCTGAGCACGACACTGACGTGAACAAGGAAGCTGTGAAATTGTAATATTTACCCTTAAAACAGTGCATTATTTCCACCTCTTTATAATAAAAATAAAGATAGCACAGCATATATCAAAATATTCAAAACTATTATCAATTTGACTCGCCATTCATTCAATTCAAAATGCAATTTCACTCTGCCGTAAAACAACGTGCCGTATTACAGTCCGTGTTGTTGTGAGGAGCTGCCCCTGCCTCGAATAAGGATGTGGAAATTAAAATGCAATATTTTGGCATGTTTGTTACTTTTTCTGGGACAATACAAGACATTTGCTCTACAGGATGTAACGGCCGACCTTTTTGCTGCCGAAAACTATGGGACAGTGGCAGCTTTTGGAGATTTCTTCGCGGATAAACAGACAGACATGTTCATCATCAGAGAACGTATGTGAATGCTTTAGTAACGTCACTTTTATGTCTGTCTTGTTAGCTTATTAACCATTGTGCCAAATGATGTATAATGTTTTATTCATATGCACTGCAAATGGTCTAAATACATTAATACAACTGTAAAACTAACCACTATTATTCCGTAACGGTTTCTTATACAGTGTGCCTTAAATATGGTTTATGCTAACACTTTCTTTATATTTAAAAACAACGAATTAATGATTTCAGTGGAGATGGAATTGGCTGTAATTTGTATCCATGTTGACTTTTTCAGAGATGGAAGTGGTGATATTCCAGGCTGATTCGAAAATACCCTACTTCAAGCCCAAAATTCACATCAAAAAGGACATTTTCCCAAGGTAATGTGTCACTTTTGGTACTGTTTTTGTTTTTAATATGTTCCATGTACACCTCATTTGTAATATATCATGTTCTAAATACCTTTCTCTGAATACTGACTTAAATGTCAGGGTGGTATTGTTTAGCTTTTAAGAGGGAATAGCTATTTTGCTCTCATTTGAATGGACCCTCTTCCTGTTCAGGGATACCATCATCACCGGTGTGGTTCCCGGGGACTACGATGGAGACTCTCAGATGGATGTCCTGCTTACAACTCAGATCCAGAATTCCAAGCAGACCACTGTTTCCATCTTCTGGGGAAACAACCAGACATTAGGTACACTAATGCCAACACTTAGGAAAGATTAGGCTGACTTTTCTGCCAATGGTTATTTTGTACTCTGGGATTCACTTTCCTGTTGGGTACAAATGATCAAATCAAATCAAGTTTTATTTATATAGCACATTTATAAACGATTTTTGGTCGAGCCAAAGTGCTGTACATATAATAAAAATAGCCTACAGTAGAGACACTTTACAGCAAATACAACAGCACAGATTGTTCAGAATATCAGTATGAGAAAAACGACACTCTATCCTTAGATCAGTGGGACATTGAACAGAACATTAGAATAGAGTACTATTTAACAGTTAGACTTGCCACAGGTGGGATTCATTCGATCACTAATTGCTGGACAGTGGGGCCATCGTTAACGTAATTAGCTCCACCTGTGCTTTCATGCAACAGGTGAGAATGTACGCCATGGAAAAAAGAACATGACTCTAATATTTCTTAGTACATTCACTCAATAAATGTTCTTAAGTATAAATTATAAGTATTTATTTTCTTGGCACTTTCTACTTCTACTCCACTACAATTGAGAGATAAATATTGTACGTTTACATTTATTTGACAGCTTTAGTCACTTTTCAAATTTATATTTTACCTACAAAAAAGATAAAGAACTTTTAACTATCCAACACTTTATAAGTCGTCCGAAAAACTATTTTGCTTATTGTTTTGTAGTAATTTAAGTCCATTTTTTTTAACCTTAACCTTTAATATTGGAAGTACATGTTCCTGGTATAACTTATAAACTTTCTCTTAAAATTCTTAATATGTAAATGTTTCATTGTGTGACACTTTCACATTTTTACTCTACTAAAATTACAGTAAAAGGTAAATATTCTAGAGTTTGAGTCACTTAATAAGTCACCTAATCATATTAATTTACATAGAAAACATACAAAGTGCTTATAACATATAATGTTGTGTCATGGTTTGAGCTACCCAACCGTTTATTAGTTTTCTGAAAAATGATTGGCAACTGATTTGATAACAATTTTGGTCATTTTATTTCCAAAAAGGATATGGTTAAAGCTTCTCAAATGTGGATTTGCTGCGTTATCATTTTAAATAATTAAAAACGTGTTTAATATTATTTGTAATTCTTATTTTAATATGTTCCTGGTAATACTTGTATAGTTTTGCTAAAGTTACATGTTCAATGCAGGACTTTTACTTGGAAATGTTTAATTAGGTCTTAGGACTTTTACTCAAGTATAAGATTTGAAAACTCCCTCCATGACTGGATCAAAAAAACATTATAAGTACAATATGGGCAAACTTTATACAGGGAAAACAAATCTCTGGTTGTGTTAATTTCACAAATATGTCAGTACCAAAGTGACATGCAGATTGATGTTATATACATAGAAATGTAAATCTTTTTGTACCACCTCAATTTGTAGGCTCCTTCTTACTGGAGGACAGGCTGTACAAGAAAAGCACATCTTAATATTTTTGTTGTGCCAAAACTCATGTTTATTTAAATGTATATAAATGTATATTTGTTATGTTTTTGTCAGACTAAGCATTACTCAGAATCTATTGTTCATCATCTGCAGATATGAGTGGGTGGATCATGCTGAACAAGACCTTTACAGACCAACCTCTTGTTATGGAGTAAGTATCAGTCTGAATGGTGTTAACATACATTCAGCTTTTTGATAAACGTATGTTTAGTTTGCATGTTTGAAGTAGAAATAATTCAATGTAAATTCACAGATATTTGTTCAAAATGATTAATTATCTTTTCTTCGATGAGGTTCTTAAAGGTGGGGTAAGTAAGTTTGAGAAACCGGCTCGAGATACACTTTTTGTTATATTCCATGGAATGCTCTTAACGTCCCGATAGCAATGAATATCTGAAGTGCTTTGACAAAAATCCATAAAAAACATCATCTGTGGAAGCCGTAGTGCTGGAAAAAGCACGACCAATCATCTGAGCCGGCCCGGCTAAAGTAACTGGATGGCCTACCTGCCTGTCAGCCTTCCATCTGTGCACAAACTTATCTCGTGCCCTCATTGGTCATGTGCACGTTTGTGTGTGTCGGAGGAGGGGCTCTGTGAGGAAGTGGCAGATTTTTACGGTCGTGTATTTTCAAATTCTAGCGCACTCGAGCTGGTTTCTCAAACGTACATACCCTACCTTTAACAGTTACAAAACAGTACTTGATACACTTGTGAAATCAAATTTAAACCAAAATCATTGAAAGCTACGTTGCAAAAATAGTTCTTAAGAAAATGAATGCTGGATGTTAAAAATACGCTACACTGCATTGTCTGCTTTAAGAGTTCACTAATACCCATATTTTGTACGGTTTGTTAGAAAGCTGAAGATAAACTATATTGGTGGGTTTATATAATATTTTAATCTTAATTTAATTTGTAATTTTCTTATTGTACTTCCTTTGTTGTACATTTTCAATTATTGTAAAATGATATTTTTTGAGAAAGTTGCCCATAATATAATACAAATTGTAATTATCTGACATTTACGAGGGGGGCTGTGGCGCAGTGGTTAGTGCGTTGGTGTTGGGATCAGGGGGTCACAGGTTTAAACCCCACTGCAGTCAGCATGTCGTTGTGTCCCTGAGACACTTCACCCCAGATTGCTCCTGTGGGGATTGTCCACAGTATTGAGTATGTAAGTCGCTTTGGATGAAAGCGTCTAACAAGTAACATGTACTGTAATGTAATTAAAGTGCATTGCTGGACTTAAAGTTGAATATACCAATTGTGTTTAAAATGAGATAAAACTACTGATGTTTTCTGGCCCCCTTATGTATTAAACAGTTTCAAAAGTGACCATAGAGATGGAGCTACACCTCTCCGACATTGCCAACAAGCATACACAGTATATGTCTAATAAACTGTTATTCCGAGTATGTTTTATCTATGTTTTATTTATTCATGTCAAATTCTTCCCACAGCTTCAATGGGGACATGATCCCAGACATTTTTGGAGTCACAAACACCGTCACCGAAGTATGCTACGTCACAAACAGGTAGTTAAATCATTGTCAACATTATTTTGAAATCCTTATGTTTATTCCTAAGACTCTCATATATTAAAAATATCTTCGATTTGACATCCTGCTGTTGCCTGTTGGTTTTTCTGTGCTTCAGGATTCCAGTGTGGAGGAATGCTTTGAGTTTAGCTGTCAACATGCGCATCCCTCACTCGAACGCGTTCATCGACCTCAACAAGGACTTAACTGCCGGTGAGTCAATGATTTAAAAATGGATACCCGTTTTTAAAGCAATGTCTTAACAAATGTCAAATGCTAATGTTCTTCAGCAACACCCATGACATTTTAGTATTAGCAACATATATGCATTTTCAGGTCAGACAATTGTCACACAGGTTTCTTTTTTATTGTCCAAACCTTTAACAGCAGTTATTACCTGCTAGTCGTTACGGAAGAGAAGGGGGAATCACTTAGAAAATTAAACTAGAGGTCATTTCACACTCGGAGATCAAAGTTTCATTCTAAACAAGCTTGTTCATCTGTCCTTTTTGTCACTTTATTTTGCTCATACTGCCTGTGCTGCAGTACCTCTTTTCACCCTCTGTCTGAAACCAGAGCCCAGTCTGCTCTGATTGGTTACCTGGTTGACTGTTGTAATTGGTCAACCGCTTAGAGATTTCCCGCCCCTTAGTCTATCATGTGCAATGTGTTGTAGCACTAGCGTGAGTGTTATATAGTGATGTCATAATATTATGGAAGTAAACAAAGGAGTCCAATGCAGTGTGTGGGAGAGAAATTCCCTCTGGAGGGAACCTCCGGATTGTAGCCTTTGCAGACCATTTACATGCACTAAAAGCTATATAACACTACAGGAATGGGAAACCCCAATAAGCATAATAGGGCCTCTTTTATTAACTCTAGGGGACAGACCCTGCTTACTTCCTATTTGTATTTCCCACATGCAGACCATAAACAATGGTGTATAGTAAGGGCTCAGTATTTGTTACTTGCTGAATTAAAATAATGGTAATTTGAATAGTAAAAAACTTGACAGTTTGTTGAAAAAATAAACCTACAAAAAACTTGTGTAAATTATATATTTTTTAAACAATTTCCTGTCCAAGCACTCTTTAGTTCACAACTTCGATTCATTTATTTATATAATGTGTAAGCTCAAACATGTTCATACTCTTCTTAATTGAGACGACTTCCAGGTTATTTATTTAAAAAAACTCAACATACTGTATGAAGTCTGTGTGTTTCTATTATATTTCTTAAGTGCATATATGGGAATGGTTGAGGTCGTTTGGCATTGCACAAAGATTACCCAGACAAGACATACAGTTAATGCCCCCAATTTTCAAGTTGATTAAGAGAGAACGGAAAAGCCAGTTTCTTCACCAGTGAATGGGGAAATCACCCCGCTCTTGTTCTACAGCCTCTCACTCCTGTCCCAGCGCCCACTGAGTGTGGCGCTGTCATTTAGACTTATAGACGGATTTCTCCCCTCTGGAATCTAATCCTCGTGTTTAAGGTAAGCAGAGAGGGTTTGGTCGTGTCATACTCACTGCAGGTAGCTTTTTGTGCTCCGTGGTTTAATTCCCAGGGCTGTCACAGTTTAACCAGAGCAGATTTGAATTCATATCTAATTTATTTAGGGATTAGGAGAAAGTCAATAAACTTCCAATTGAAATTGACAGACTTAAACCTAGAGACCCACACTTTGTGGACAGTGGATCATTAGAGGGAGATCATCAATGAATGCTCCAATTCATTTGAGATGCACAACAGCACCGTGTGACAAGTTGTTCTTGTCATGAATCTCAAATATATATTATGTATTCGTTATACACCTAATTGAAATGTAAAGGTTTGTGGGTGTAAGAACTTTGAACATGCTGTGTCTTAAAAGTTGTTTCAGAACTTTTTGGTTTGACACCTCAATATGAGGCACAGATTTGGTGTTACATTTGAAAACATCAAATACTTTTGACATTTGGAAGATTCTACTATCGAGTTGATTGAATTCAACATTTTCTATAGTCTACTTTAAAAAAAAAATAAGGATTAATACATGTGGAATACAATTGGGCTCTCTGAATCCAAAAGTCTCAGTTTACCGGTCATACCCAATGCATGTCATTATAAGAGTGTTGAGAGACTCCACAAAAAAAACATTTAAATGCACCCTATTTGGTATGATACAAAATTAACACTGGTTGCTAAAAATGGCATGATTGTTTTCCCTAACTGCAGGGGATTAGCATAAATGAGCATGTTTGTAGAGGGGAGACTTGTTGGAATCCATAGAACCCATTTTCATTCCACTATCTTGCAGTGAGAGGTTAAGGTACCCATGTAAATGTGGCCTCGCCCGTTTTCTCTTTTTGCCTTCATTTTGAGCTATCTTTACCTTTCTTTCTGACAAACTTGCATTACATATCAGTATCCTAAGCTGGGGCCGCCAGTCATTCGACATCAGAGGGTTAAACAAATCCAGATTCATAGAGAATGGATTGTGTTGGGGTATCATTGGTTTCTACTGCTTCTACAGCCATCAGACGGATGGCCTGCACAATGCCTGTCAGTCTGTGTCGGAAGTCCCTTTTTACTTCCTATCCCCCACACATGTATACACACCCCACACACACTCACACAAACGCACAAGGACGGTGATCATTACATCCTCATTAAGTGTGTTCAGCTGCGTTCAGTTCGATGTGGGTGAATGGTACTGTACATCTGGTGGATGTCAGAATCTTTGGCTGCCACTCTATGGGGGCATGCAGATGGAGGCAGACGCAAGCAGGAAGTGATGGAGAAGTCAAGCTGTGTCGGAGAGGATGAATGGTTTGAAAGAAATGGATGGAAGGAAAGATAAAGGGTGGGAGGGGGGTGAGCAAGGCAGTGGGTGAGTCTTCAGCGTGGCTCCGCTCACTGTCTGCTGTGACCACCTGCTCCTCTAAGCAGGACTGGCAGGAGCATCAGTGGGACTTAGATTGCGAGAAAGTGACTCTTAAAGACAATCTGGGTCTCAATGGATGGCCAGCTTGAGCTACATTTAGGTTGGTAGCTATTAAACTATCATTCATGTTTTTAAAGATTCATATTGTCTTCATTTTATAAAAAATATGCTAGCCATAGTCAATAAGGCTTCTAATTCAACCTTAATAATCTGGCTATAGACTTGTGCCGATTAATGATTGGATGGTGGATAGACGTCTCAAGGGATTATCGAAAATGGAATTTTTCCTATGCTGATAGTGAGGTAATTTGAACTTTCCATCAAAACTGAGGTATGGTAAGATGAATCTCTTGAATCCGACCCCTACTGGACTTTAAGAGATGTTTCTAAACTCTGTTAATTGGCACCAGTTATAAGTTATTTTCAATCCTTAATTATAAACCAGTTCGCCTTCTCTTGTTCATGATCTGTGACCAGATTCTCCAATGTTCTCAGTCCAATCTATGTTTGCCGACATGTTTCTCTACATTTTATAAAAGTTGTTCAGGTCATGGTAATGGTTTGGATTATTAAATTAAAGATGATGCAATAATGTAAAACGGAACATAATGCCTTGAGATTCTCGCAAGAACAGAGAACTGACTTTTAAAGGGGTACCTATTGTTTGAACTGAGATGCATATCACATAGTTTCTTTAACTTTTTAATATGTATTCACTTAACGCTAAATGTGTTGCTTAAAAGATAAGATTATTTCAAAGCTCGCTGAGCCATGCAGCCTCCTGTTGGCCATGATAAGATGCTATGAAAATAAAAATGATCATCCAACCCAAATTGGAACCATTCAACATACTGTATAGACTTCAGCAGATGCCACAGTCTCAATTAAGACCAAGTAAAAATAGCATGTTCAAGCTTACACTCGCTGCAGGGCAGGTTTAATATATTGCATTGGATGGGCGGCTGTGGCTTTCAATCGGAAGGCTGTGAGTTCGATGTATCCTTGGTGTGTGAAAGTTAGCTGAACTCTGTATGAATGCGGTGTGAATGGGTAAATGATGAATTGTAAATGTATAGCACTTTAAGGGGTCATTTTACTAATTTGACTACCTGTTTTAAAGAACATTTGATTTATGAAGTTGTAACTGTTCACAACTAAATTCAGTAAGGCTCTTTCTATCATACTTTACTCATGTGTATTTGGAATTACCCATGGTTTCTTATCTTTCACTGTTTGTTAACGTTTTAGCAGAAGTTTGCAGATTATTTCAGGCTCCGAGTGTTTAAAGATGCTTTCAAATGGTTTCATATGAATGAGTATAAAATGATATGCACATTCATCTTAATTAAGACACGCAGAGTTAACCCTTGCTGTGGGGAATAAGAGTGAAACCTTTGGAAATGCAACTTGCATAAACATGGGAGGGAAGAAACTAACTAGAATTACACATTGAAACAGTCAATCACAAGACACGATAAATAGGTGTTTATAATGGAGAGGGATAGAGGGTTCCTATCAGTATTTTGCACGTTTTGTTTACAATGAGAATCTCTAGGTGTCCCCTCTCTCACCCACCAGTACAGTAATACAGTAAGGTATTTTGTTAGCGACGTCCAAAGCGGATGAGGGTTGTTTCGGGGCCATGTCACGACTCCAATCTCAGTCCAATGTCATCGCTGTAAACAATCCCATGGTAGTGTATTGGCTGGCCTCACTACATCAGCACTGCCAGCAAAAAAAGTCTGGAATTGTTTCCTGGCCGGTGTCAAGGCCTCATTTAGCCGGCTTATTGGACTCTCGAGCCAACCAACCTGGCGACGACATCCTGCATATGGCTCGTAATCTCTTTTGTTACTATCATCATCCTCCAGCCAGTGTCTCTAACAGCAACGCATTCATAACAGCTTTGTGTTCACGCTCTTTTGTTTCCCAGTGATTTGGTCTCTTTCCTCACACATTGAGGGGCTTTTTTCCATTTTCTGATGGTGTGACTTTTGTACGTTGGTCATAACATACAAACTTCCCTGGAGGCAATAGTGTAAGGAAGAACAGGACAACGGTCAGGACAAATATCACTGAAGAGAAGTTTACATGGCGCTGTTCCAATGAGATTTTTCTCTAGAAAAGTAAAGAGTGTCTTCAGAATTTTGGCCAAGTTACATAAAGGTGGTTTCATATTTATTACAAATAGTGTTGCCATGGAAAAGGTTGTGTTTGTATTGGTATATTTGTAAAAGCAAAGCATCATTAAGCATTTGAGATAGCTCTGTAGGCATAGTTGTTCTGG